TTCACCTTCTGTTCTGAGAAAGGTGGAGCTAGGTCTTTTGTCTCTCACAATCCATAATTTGTATGTCTAGGTATATAGGTTAAATGAGGCTCTTGAAAGCATTTTCCTAATATCTTTACCATTAGAAACATGCATACCCCTTAGCTGCTAATCACTGAGTACATTAAACATGCAGGCACTATTTTAAGTGATTTATAGTTACTTAAACATGGTATTGTAGGATCTTAGGTTCAAAATTGAATGAATCATATTCTTCAGTTCCTGATAAAACACCATCATTAATCAGGGCAATGCTCTTCCTCATTTTATGTTATCATTTTTTCTGCTTCTCCCTCCAGTCCCACTGCTTCCCCTGTTTCTCATAGGTGTCCAACTCCAGCGTATTCAAAATATGTATCCTTCCATGTTTGTTCTTTTCCTGTTCATTTAGAGATATGTGTATCTTTAAAAAACATAGTGATTTTGGTGTGTTCTAAAATTCACGTACATGATATTGTGATGTAAAACCCATTTTATTTCTTTTTCCACATGTACTGTGTTTCTGTGATTTGCCTATGTTGTGTAGGTATATGTAGTTTGTTATTTCTGATTTTGTCATGGTGTGCTTATAACATATTTTACTTATCCATTCCACTAAAGATTTTGAGTACTTTGCATATATTATCTTATTTAATCCTGAAGACAGCCCTTCAAGCAGTTATTATTATCTTATTTTTACCAATGATGAATTTAAACCTCTGGAAGATTAATTTGTTGAAGATTACCCAGTGGAAGTAAAAGTGGAAGAGTTGTTTGATGGCAAATTCTATGCTCTTTGCTATAAGTTTCTTCTGTTGTCTCCCTACATTTTACTGCATCTTTATGATTTACAGTATCAAAGAAATCTCTTTGCAGTTAATGAGATCCTTCCTACTTTCAAATCATGACAGAATTTGGCTAATTTCCATTCCTTTCTCAGCATTCTAATTCTGAAATTGTAATAGCCCATTTTCTGTCTATCTCATGGCTGGTTCCTGGGGGTTCTCTTTGATTAAGGACAAAGTTGTTCAAGGCACCTGACCAGAGATTAGGTGTCAGATAGTTGTGGCACAGATGCAGCCACACTGGAATTGTGTCACATGCATGCCAGATCCATCTTATACTTAAGCTCTAATTCTTCCTGTAGCCCTGAAAGCTGGCTATAGCCATGACTATTTTATGAATAATGCTTCACAGAGTGAAGCTCAGAGAGGCTAAGGAAGTTGCCCAACTTGCTACACACAGAAAGGAACAGACTCAGTGTTTGAACCTAGGACTTTCTAACTCCAAATTCTGTATTCTTTCCACAACACCATGCTGCCCTCTTAGGGGAAGTGGATTAACCTTCCTGCAGATCCAAGCCCCCAAATTTAACATCAAATAGCCTTCCACAACCTCCCTAAGACCATTAGGCAAATACTCAACTTTCAAGGGAGAAGAGGATTAAGATTGGTTTTGGAGGTTTTTTTTTTCATTAAAAAACTATGCTTTTCTTCTTCCTTCTTTATGGGTTGAGATAGACTAGTGGAACCATATCCCTCTTATGCTATGTCCTTGGGAAAATTGCTTAAGTAATTAGAACTTCAAT